ATTTTGGTTTTAGAAAAAGCAAATCCAAATTGTTTTCTAATTTTATGTAATATTTTGGCAAACATCTGTTATATGAAAGATAAAGTATTATAGATATGCTAAGATACAAATAAATCAATAACTTTAATGCTGTCACCCTTAACAAAGTCTAAGGCTGAAGTAAGACCCCTTTAAAATGTTGGAGGACACATGTGCTGGTGTGTTATATCACAGTAGTCCAGGAGAATAATTTCAAGAGGATCCCAGGTCTCCAGCCTTAATTAATCTTTCTTGCAGCTTTGCTACAGAGGAGAAGGCTCTCACAGTTTCCACTCTCACTATCTCCCAGGCACAGTCACTGTAGCTCTTCTCATCAAGGTAGAGATGGATTCCCCGGAAGTACTTCCTTAAGGCCACTTCCTGATCCTCCATTGCCAGGGAAAAGTCTTCCTCTCTTATCACCTGAATTAAGCAGGTTTTCAGGGTCTCCAACTGCTGATGAAGTCCCATGCGGAGTTCATCCAGGAGGGGTGTGTTCCAGGCAGCAGCAGCATGCTCTGTGTGGAAGATGTTGAAGATCTGCTGTAACATCTCATGGAGAACAGAGACAGCCTGGGCCCTGTGGATCTGCCTGTCATCCAGTAGCTCTTGGAGGAATTGGAAGTTCCTTCTGTCCTTCAGACACAAGAAAGGGGAAACTCTCCTCATTTGGCCTAAGAGTACAAAGGTCTTCCTGGTAAGCAAGTCAGAGTTCCGAGGCAGGTCACAGCCCAGAGATCCAACAGGGCCATAATTGCACGCCAACAGGGTGGCCAGGAGAGGGAACAGGAGGGCCATGGGAAAATGAGGATGCTGCACAGGGTGGCCAGGAGAGGGAACAGGGAAAATGAGGATGCTGCTGGCCTGGCTGAGCTGGGGCTGTGTGAACCTTGGAATGTAGGTTCTCTTAAGACACTCTGTGCATGCATTGTTCTTAAATAGGGCACAAATAATTTTCATTTTCATTTGTGTATTTTCCATATCTCCTAATAAGATAACAAAAGCTAGGCTATTAACTTTATAACAGAAGGTCCGTTTTCCCAGTGAATTTCAGGTATGCCAATCTAAATGGATTCTTGTCAATCAGGTGAGAAGTGTTTGACTTAAACTCAGAAGTGCTTTTGTGCATGTAAACAATCAGACTCACACGCACATGGTGACGTATTTCCCCATGCCCCTCACAAATTAACACTGCTTTTCTTTTCTAAGGACACATTTTTATCCCCAATAACTCCATTTTCTTTCTGTTAAGAGAAAGTCAGGCTCCCTCACACCTATGGGTTTCTGAATTTATTTGGAGATTTCCCCAGCTATCCATGGCCAAAAACCACTTTAGAATGTAAAATGTGATTTTTCTCATTATTTATTCTGCACAGGTTAAGCAGTGAACAAGCTTCTCTGGACTGTCCTAGAACATGTTTGTGCAGAGTTAACGTAGACATCGCCCTTTCTGCCCACCACTGAGTTCTCCAGTGCTCTTCCATCTGGTCCTAGGACCAGCCCTACTTCTTTTCTTGTGTAGAGATTCTAGTTCCAAGGAAGTATTATTTTACCAATACTAGCTTACTCTCTCACCTTTTTCCTCTGCTCTAGGGTGACAAAGTATCCTAAGTCCATACTTAGACTCCTTTTCTGAGGGAAGGTTACTACATCCTGATAACTTTAGAAATCCATTATTTAGGAAGATTTGCTTCTTTGTTTGCCAAATAATAAACTCTCCAAGCTCCTTTGAAGAACTCTAATTCTTGTTGGTGACCTGTTCTCCTAATACATATCAAAAATGGCAACAACACTTAGAGGATGATATCAAAAGTTTATTCTGTCTTTGTAGGCTTTAGTAGCCAAATATAATTCTTCTAAACATAGTTTTTACTGTCTAACTCTTATACTGTTGTACCTTTGTCAATCTCAATTTTTCTAAGCTGGGTGCAGGATTTATTGATGATGTTACTCTTCTTTGGAAGCTATTGTTAGAGAAATTAAAGACCTTCAGTTTATAGAGTCAGCATGGCTATATTTGTTTGCTATATTTTTCTATCTGTGACTCACTCTAAGACTGCAGGGCAGTGAGACCCAGGCTAACATATCAAAGAGCAATATAATACCCTTGTTCATTCATGATTTTTCATTTTAGATGTAAACTGAAGCAACAAAAAGAGTTTTCATTCTGTTTATTTTTTGTGGTTGTTTCTTGGCCAAAGTATGTTTAGCTGATCCTGTATCACTTTCTGCTTAATCCTAAGGTTAATATAAAACCAAAGGAAATAAAAGAAGGGGCTGCAACATATTTTCTCTGTGATTTTTTTTAAATGTAAGATTTTGGTTTGTATGAGACAGGGTTTCACTATGTTGCGCAGGCTGCTCATGAACTCAAGATCCTTTTTGTCTTAGTCTTCCACACACAGGAATTGCAGGCATGCACTCCCACATTCAGCTAAGAAGATTTTTATTTCTCATTTCATTTCAACTTTCTTAGAAAGCAAAACTCCATAGTTATCTTTTGGCAAAATAGCCATTTTGTGAATCTAAACGTCATGAAAGTGAAAGAAAAGAAGTTACTTCCCTTAAAAGATGAAATGCTAACAACTGGGGACCAGGGACTATGTCAGAGGGGAAGAAGGAAGGCCAGTGCTGTGATGCATAAAGGGGGAAGATGGTTGCTTCTGTGAGAGGCATGAAGAATCACCTCTTGGGTCAATTGCGAGATCTGCTAGCTGATGTTCTTTAGTTTAATCCAACTCTGGGGAGAAAAACGAGGAATCAAGGTAATCATCTCACAGGAGACTGGCAACCTGACCCCACTCACTAGAACACTAACCCAGATAGGATAAAGGGTATCTGCCTTGCTTGAGGACTCCACCTACTTAATAATCTACTCAGACAATGAAAACACTGCCTCGATAAGCCTAGAGTGAAGAGAAAGGATAGCTAGTGTTCCATGTCCTCTGCTCTTAATCTGAAAAATAATGATGCTGTTTAAAAATGATAATAGAAGAATTTATTCTTTGATAAGTGTGAGTCATCTGTTGATCTAAAACTCTTGAAAATATAAGCTTAGTACTCCCGAACACTATTTAGATGACACTAATTTTAATAACATTTCGTCAGGAAATACAAATGTGGGAGGATAGACCAAACATTCAAAGTCAATATGTTAGGAAGAGTTGAGATAAAGCTTGTCTGGAAGGGCTCATTAAAATAAAGAATAGAAGTAGACGTGAAACATATGAACCAAAGAGAGGACACGGCATGAAATCTGAGCAGA